CAGGGGTGGTGTTTTAAGTGCAAAGGACTCTGAGAAACAGCAGTGGAGGGAAGGTGGAAGGACTTACTTCTGAGAGTACCTTGTGTACGTACTTCAACCTGTCCCTGGTGGGCAGCAGCAACGTGCACCTCTTCAGCAACAGCCCTGGGACAGGGGGAGAAACAGGAAAAATGGGAATAAACTGTCACAGCAACTTGTTTTTGGTGTTGTTTAAAGCCCCTGCTACTCCCAGCTGAAGTATTAAAACCACTGCACTGGGTTGGGAGTTACAGCTGCTGAAAGTGTTGGGAAGCAGCGTTGACTTGTTGCCCCTCAGCTCCCAAAACCCTGTGGAACACCAGTTTTCCCCTCACAGCATGGGAAGCTGAGCTTCCAAACGTTTATTTTCAAGAGAGCCACACGAAAAAGCAAATATTCTGAACTGTGCTCGTGTAAAACATTGCTAGGAGGGAAATCTGTTTTCCTACAGTGGGTATATTTGGAATGGCAGAGTCTGGGGTTCGTTATTATGGGGAACAGCTGGTTGTGGAGAGGAATTTTTTCTACACTCCTGATGGAAACTGGGTTAACAGCTTCCACCAGGATAAAAAATATATATATATTGGTTGTTAATTAGTCAAGGAATCCACGGAAAAGCATGTAGTTTTCGGGGAGGAGAAAAAGGATACTTTTCTCCTGAATTTGGCCTCCTGAAAATACATCATTTCTCCAAGGTCAGAAAGTGCTTTATGGATTTCCCGTGGTTCTGAGCTGACCCCTTTCCTTCTTTAGCAGCCTGTCAGCCTTCCTGCACCACAGCCATAATTTATTCATCGGCCTCAGGCGCGATCCAAAGCTCAGTCAAGCCGATTTTTTTATCGACTTTGGAGGGGATTCCCCCGAGGAGCGGCCGCTGGGAGGGCTCAGCTGCACCTCGGGGCGGAGCCGTCGGTGTGGGGAAAACAGGCTTGAGCAAAACGCACTTTTTTTTCGCTCCAGTTTTTCCTGCTGCAAAGCAAATATTGATTTTTTTGCACCTGACCTTAACAAAGCCGTTCCTGCTGGGCCCCAGATAGGGCCGAGGATTTTATATTTTTTAATAATGTCGAGTTTTACTGCCGGAGCTGCTGCAGGGGTGGGTTCACACCTGCTTTTAAAGAAGGAGTTGCCATTTTGTGTGAGGTCACTACAGAGGCCAAACTAATTTTTGGTTGCTTTTTTGTTTTTTTTTTTAAAGGATTATAAGTTTTCAGGCTTCATTTTAAAAAGAAAGCACTAAGATTGTTTTAAAAAGGCATTTTAAGATACCTCAAAATCTCTATGGTTTGCTTACAGTAGGAGACTTTAGGTCTAAATGAATTTAACAGCTTTCCTTTACCACATGTAATTTAATGCCTTTAATGCCTTTATTTAATGTCTTGAGTTCAAACCCTGTTTATAATTCTCCATCTAACCATGGCATCACTTGATTTGTCTGTCAAACACCCATTTTTGTATCAGACAGGGACCAGTAAATACGGATCAAATGCTGGTTTAATTTCATTTCCTCCTCTGACAGGACAGTGTGGAATGAATTAGGACCAACGTGTTTTAAAAACCAGCAACTGTGTCACAAAGGGCAGCTGGTGCTGGTCCCTCCAGAACTAGGCTGGGCCTAAATCCTGTGGCTGCATTTCCCAGACTGAGGAATGTGAGCTGCTCCAAAGGGATGCTCAGAGGGGGAGGCTGAGCAGCCAAATTCCTTTGGCTGCCCGGGCCTGGGAGTCTCTTTCCAGCGGTGGTGTCCAAACAAACTAAATTTGGAAACACCTCCGACTGGGAACTGACCCTCTGCCGCCTCGCAGGGAGCCATAAACACACGGCAGGCAGGACGCACAGCATTTTTTTTCCACAACTAAGAGGCTTTGGAATGATTTCAGCAATCCCTCCCTCCAGCTCGTGGCGTGGGGAGGGGGTTATTTGGCTCCAATTTCAGAGGGAGCTGCACAAAAGGGGGTTTGGGGGCCACGTTTTATCGCTGCCTGAAGCAGAGGGAGGCTTTTCAGCGGGCTCTGCCCTCACCTAGGGATTTGTAGTGCTCCAGGATAGAGGCTCCCTCTCTCCTGCCGGGGAGCTCCAGGTTGTGGAAGTCCTGCAGGAGGAGCCGGCGGGTCCCTGCCGAGGTGGAGATGTAGTGAATCAGCTGCTGGCCGAGGGTTTTGGACACCATGCTCAGCGTGCTGATGTCCTTCACTGCAAAAGCAAAGCCCAGGATGCTCCTAAATCCTCAAATGCTGATCACGGGTCAATAACTGCCCTCTCCCCCCTTCAAAAACAAACCGAGGAGTCAGAGAGATAAATAAAACACAAATTAATTACCCTGGATCTCCTCTGCCAGCAAACTGTAGTAATTAGAAATGGAGAGATCTAAGGAATGTATTTTTCCACACCTTGTGCATCGTAATCATAATTTAAATTTTGATTTTTTTTTTAAAAGAATGACATGACAGTATTTTGTTTTCAAAACGAAGGCTGAAACCTTATAATTATTTTTTTTTATAAGGTTTCAGCCTTCGTTTTGAAAACAAAACACTAAGATTGTTTTAAAAGGTGTTTTAAGATACCTCGAAACCTCCATGGGTTGCTTACAGTGGGAGATGTTGGGTCTAAACAACTTCAGCTTTCAGTTGGTTTTTTCATGCATAAAAGCTGACAACTCAGAGAATAAGCCACATAAAATGACTTTAACCAGCTGAAAGCTAAAGGATAAGCCACAAAAAAAATGACTTTAACCAGCTAGAAGCTAAAATGTTTTAAATAATAATGGCTTTATAAATGAAAAAAAAAGTCATGGAAATTTTCAGATATTGGGGTGCTCAGGTTCTCACCTGAGAGATATTTCAACACCATGTGAAAGATCTCTAAGGGAAGGGTTTGAAAGTGTCCCAGTGCTGACAGGGACTGGGAATCCGTGTCCAAGGTGTCCCAGCAGCCTCTGGAGCGGCGGCGGCTCCGCCGGTGTTTGTGGCTGGGGATGGAGGTGTGGCTGCTCCCTGCACTGCAGCTCATTGTCCTGCTGTGCCCATAAATTTAACCTGGAGAGGAAAAAAAAAAGATTAAATCTTATTTTCAGAGGAGAAAACTTCCCAAAAATCAGGCTGAGAGGATATGACTCTGTTGGAGGCACAGCCCCGAGTGTGAAAATCTCGTGGATGTGGAGGATAAACTGTTTGGATTTAGTGCAAGGGAAGCGACTTTATAAATAGTTTTTTAGTGTATAAATTATAAAATGTGTTATAAAATGTATTATAACTGATCATTCCATGTATTGAAAGATATAAATCTATAGGAGAATGGAGTATTCAGGGAGGAGGAAAAGATAAAAGCACTGGGGGACGTCGTGGAGTGGGACATGGAAAATGAGGAAAATAGTCCTAAAAAGGGAATTCCAGAGGAATTACACGTGATGGTACAAGCTGCAGTAATTAACAACAGTGTTTTAATTTGTTACACTAATTACTCAACAGGATACTACAGTTGCTATTGAAATATCGTGTTACTTGATTCCTTTAAGTGATAATTACTTATATGTGTATGACCAAAAAAAAAAGATTGAAAGCAGCAAAGTGGTGCTTCAAACCTTTTTGTCCTGCAGCACTCAGTTGATACAAGGCCTAGTTTAATATAATGACTAAATGTGTGATAATAAAACTAAATTACACAGCATTGCTACGTGGAAAAAAAAAATGCAGTGACTCAGCCTTTCCCAAAATCACGAGGGGAAACGAAAATGAGCTTTAAACGATCGATAAATCGGATTTATTTGATTTATCCTCCTGGGTTTTGGGTCTCTAGAACAGCTACACTTCCCACTGTCGGGCAACACTGGGAGCCAGGGACTCTCTGCCTGTAAAATTTTGGTTTATAACTGAGATTTTTTCCACGCTGTTCCTCGATTCCAGCAGCTGAGGCTTTCGGGGGGGATTTGCCAAGGAGCTCTGCAGCATAATTACACGAGCTGGCAGCAGGGGCTGGAACATCCCTGGAACCAATCCAAAGCTGCAGGGCGACATCCCAGTACACCCTGAGTGGGAAATTCTCGGGCAGAATAGACCTCATTGTTGGAGAGATTAAAAAATTTACAAAATTACAGACGACCAGCTCCAAACCACCCCTCCTGTTTACACGACAAAACCTCACGCCGGCCAGACCCGCCAATATTCCAGGCAGGAAAAATTGCTACATCCACAATAGGAGCTTTGTTTGGGCTGAGAATGGGGAAGGAATCGGGGCATTTTTGTTAAAAGTGGGTTTGACTGACTCCAGAGTACATTTAAGGAAGTTTTACTTCGCTGGAAGCGGGTTTTGAATTTGGCTGCGGGATATTTCCAGCTGAAACTTTCACAAGGGCTCGGGAGCAAAAGAGGAACTGCTGCTAAAATTAGTGTTTCTTTTGGATTTTATGAGAGAAAAATTGATTTGACGCCTTTAAGAACGATTGAGAAACCGCTGGTGGATAAAGCTACATGAAAAAAATGTTTATCTTCTGGAAGCAAAGCAAAAGTGAGGAATTTTATACACAGGATAATTTAAATTCCTTGAGTACAACATACAAAGCAGCTCATGTTTATAACAAGGCACCACTAAACTTGGCTAAATCTGGTGCATATTTCTTCTCATCCTCGCTTTTAGAAATAAAGTTGCAATCCTATGATACTTTCTTTTCGTCCCCCACTCTCCTTTCTGTGCTGTGGGGGATTTATGGGATCTTTTAAGTGTTTTTAAAAACTCTTACCTTGTGTAACGTGGAAGAAAAAAATGCTTTGCCACCAGCGAGGTTTTTGGAAGTGTTTGTCCAACTCCAGCCTGTGTCTGTTCAATCTGATGGGAGTTAAACTGATTATCACTGTTTTAATGTGGAGCAGAGCTAGATAAAATTAATGTAAATCAAAATGAGTGCAAACAGCCAGTTTTAAAGCCTTTCCTGAAAGCTCCCACTCGCTTCCTCTTTGACTTAACGTGGTTTTCTTTTTATTTCTTAGGGAGTTCAGCCAGAGCAGGGCAATGGGCTGTGCATCTCCATCTGCTGCTGGGACACCGGTGTTTGGAGAACTGCTTAATCCACACTGGAAATGGAGAGGTAAATGTTAAATATTTAACAAGCTAAACTCATAACATTAGCTAAGAAGGGTCATCCCATTTGTTGCTCTATAAACTAATTTGTTTACAGGGCAGAAAGCATCAACTTCCACCCCTGCTCCCCTTAAGCAGTCGCTAAACTCCTGCTAATGGATGCACTTTAGTGCTGATATTTCTCGGAGCCCTGTGTTAGCATTTGGCAAACATTTATTGCAGAAAGGGTGTTTACTTTGGAGATTGCTTTGGGATGTTTCTGCTTCCCTTCCTCATCACTACGAGCATGAGCTCGGTCGCCTCCAATATTAACTCAATTTTGATTTGTTTTTTCCACGGTTTTCTCTTTGCCGTGTAAAAATAATATAGGATAAAATGGAATAGAATAAAATGGAATAGAATAAAATAGAATAGAATAAAATAAAATAAAAAAGAATAAAATAAAATAAAATAAAATAAAATAAAATAAAATAAAATCATGACTTTAAAAGTACAAGTTTAAGTGAGGGATGACAGACCTCAGAGCATCGAGCACACCCATGGAGTTACCTCAGTACTTGTTACCCCCCGACCTACACTGAAAATTTACAAAAAACATGTGGTTTTGTTTAGGATAAAGTCTCTGTGTCGGATTGGTGGTGAAAATCTGTCCCTAAAAGCACCTAAATTGGTGAATGATGTGGGTACAAAGCAGAGCTGAGGGGATTCTGGCCCTGCTGCTGCTGGTGGTTGGGTTGTGGTGTGAGGAGAAGCACCAGAATCTGCTCCTTTTTCCCTCATTCCAGGCTGGATTTGCTCCCCAGGCTGCAATATTTTATGGAATGGGTAATATTTGGCCTTTTAGCTGTGTTTTTGGGTCAGATCGAGCCGGGCTGTGACAGACCTTTAGGCCAAAGGATGGGCCGGGCTGTGCCCTCTGCCCACAACCTGCCAAAATTCGGGGCCAAAGGGCTGAAATCGGGGACCTGCACCCCAAAACCTCCGTGGAGACACCGGAGAGGGTCTCGCAGTCGGTGGTACTCACTCAAAACACTTTATCAGACGATTTTTTACCTCAGGGAAACCCGCTCTCCACAAACCCCCTGGGCCGGGCGCCCTCAGGGAGCTCTGAGGGGAACAGCGGGGGATGAGGGGGTGTGTGTGGGGAACACCAAACCCCGTGTCCCTGTGGGGGAAAAAAGAACCCAGACCCCCATTTCTTAATTACTATCCTTAGCGAAAATCAAATTTTTAAAGCGTTATTTCAGTATCTACCACGGTTTAAAAGGGGGTCTGGGCGTAGCAGCGGCGGCGGGTGCGCACAGGCAGCACAGCTGTGTTTGGGTACCTCGCTCGGGAGCAGAAATGTTGGCAAACATTAAAAAAACCAGCGTTTAACTTTCAGGGCGTTGGTTGTCAGTGGGGCCGCAGGTGCGTTGGAGGGGTGGAATCGCCACAAACTAACAGCAGCGTGTCACTCCGGCGGTGCTTCCGTGGTGTTTTACCCCAGCAGCGTTTTGTCGGCGTTATTTTTAATAACTCCGCCCCGTTTTTACTCGAATTTAGGCGAATTTTGTGTCAGAACGCCTTTCCCGCGCTTTCGCCCGCGGCGCGTCTCAGCGCGAGGGGGGAGGGGGCGGAGCGTACGGGGTTTCCCGCCCTCGTTGTCCCCGCCCATATTATGAATATTCAAATAAGACCACGCCCCCTCCCGTAGCGGAAAGTGCATCCCCTCATTACCGGTCGCCGCGTGGTCACGCCCACATACTGAATAATTAATGAGGCGCCGGGAGCGCGGCTTGAGGGCGGCGGGATTTTGGGATGAGCTTTAGGATCCCTTCCAAAGCCTTCCGTGGTCCCGTGGCTCGGTTGTTACAACGAGAAGTCACGACCCCTGTGAAATGGTGTCATTCCATGTGCTGCGGCCAGGGGAAAACCCCCTCTGTGAGAGCCGCAAATCCCCAACTCGCTACAGACCGGTTTTAAAAATAACTTTTTCTCGTTATAAATTCTGCCCCCCCGAAGTCGCTGACTCTTGAGTAACTATTTCTCTCGGGACAGCGACCGAACCTCCCGGGAGAGGTTTCCTCGCTGCTCCAAAGGCAGCTCCCATACGATGGCAGCAGAGGCCCGCAGCTGCTTTAAGGGAATTTTTGCCCGGTATTTTTATTTTTTTTTCCCCAGAAGACAGTTGTTTGTTTTGGTTTTGTTCCTGTTCTGTTTTTTTTCTTTTTTTTTTCCTTTTTTTTCTTTTTTTTAATTTCCCTTTTTTCTCAGGAACTTCGTCAAAAGAAGAACTTTCCTTGGCAAAACCGAAGCAGAAAAAAACCTCAAAAAATCACCCTCATATGTAAGGATGTGGCATCGTCTGATTAATTAACGAGAGCTGGGTTGCCATGATGATGTAGCCGTGACTGCAATATTTTGGGCTGAAAAGGTAAATCAGGCAAATGTGCAAAAATAACGTGCTTTGGAGTTGAGCAGAATGAGCCAAGTAGAGCCTGCAGATACCTTGTCCCTGTTTCTATTTCCACCTGGGATAGCAGGATATCTCTCCAAGAAACAGCATCCTGCCTCCCTAAATCCTTCCCAAACGCTGCTGGGTGCAGTCAGGGATCATTTTGCTGTTTGCACCTCTGTGTTCCACCACAAATAGATAATAGATACTCTCAGACTGCCCGTTTACCCCAATAATAAATAACCAGAAATCACCAGATCCCACAGGAGGAAAAAAATATATATAATTTGGGGGTGTATCTGGAGTATCCTGGGGCACCTTTTTGGAGCCTGAGAGTGGTTTAAGGAATTCCTGAGGCTGAGGCTGCGTCCTGTGTTTACCAGGCAGAGCTGGACCCACATAAACACTGGAGTGATTGGGATAATTAATGGTAACAAGGGCGACACCGGGCTCGGGGATTTAATTGAGTCGAGGTAAAAGTATCACCCTGTGTTTGCTTTCAGTTGGCTGAAGGAGTCACTGATGGGGTTTATTTTTCATTCTGTAATCCAGTCAGTGTTTGTGAACGGGTTTGAGGTGACGGGATGAAGAGTAATAAGGGGAAAATTGAGTCGTCCCAAATTCCCGGTGTTTCTGCTGGAGTGTTAACGGCTCATTCTGGGAGAGTGGAAGGAGTGGGGTGGGACTTGGATGAGTTTTAAGGTCCCTTCCAGCCCAAACCACCCTGTGATTCCGTGAAGAAAAGCACCAAATGTGCTGGGAGTCAAAAGAAAATGCAGGAAAAATTGCACCACTAGGGCCAAAGAACAGCATCTAGAGTGCTGTAAGCATGGGAAAATGGAAATAATAATAATAATAATAATAATAATAATAATAATAATAATAATAATAATCTGCAGAAGAAAAACATAATTCCTCGAGTTTTGTGTCCCTTCACCCCTCACCTTCAATAGAATTTCTTCTTCTTATCTCTTTAAATCAAATTTCCCCCCGTTCTCCAAATGTTTCCTCTCTCTGAAGTGTTATTAAGGAGCAGAGCTGCAGCCTTTCATTTTTTTTCTCTTAAAAAAAAGCAGTTTAAGGCTTGTTAGAAAATGATAAAAATATATGATTAATGGGATTGTTGACTCATCCAGCACAGGCTCTGCTGTGCTCTGTGTGAGGATAGACAGGGAATTAAGGCACTGTTTCCTCTCATCCTGCTTAATGAATTCTCTGGGTAAAAATCCCCACATCCTCCTTGGCTGGCATTTCTGAGGATTTCTGCCAGAGCAGGGCTGGTGGGTGGCAGAGGGATAAGAAGGGGCAGGGATGTGTATTCCCAGAATCCCAGCCCACAGGGGTTTGATCCTCTGAGAAGCCGATGAGAATTCGGCACAAAGTTCCCATCATTTTATTGGTGTTCTGCTCGTGGAATCGTGCAGGGATAGGGAGGAGAAAAAATGGGGAAAAAAGGAAAAAAGGAAAAAAAAAGGCAGAGTTTCCAGATGGCCTCATTCCTCTCGGGATCATCGCTGTCTGTGTGGGGGCAGGAGTGGGTTTAATGTCGTTTTCTTGCCTCTCCCACCTCATTTTGGACACAGTGATGGTGGCTGAGACAAATCCTTCCACCCTGCCCGGCTTCCAAGGGTTTTAAAACGCTTGGAAGTGCATTAAATCCTGGAGCTGAGGGAAGGTGCCCTGTGGAGGAGGTGTGAGGCTTCCCCGGAACGCTGAGGCAGGAGGAGCTCAGGGACTTCTTCAAGGTCGTTTGGAAGATTCCAGAGGCAGAATCCCGAGTCCCAGCTCCTGCTTCCTGCCCTCAGGTGACGCTGCTAAACATTGGGATGGAGGGAATGTGAGAGTGGAAGAGGGGAGGCAGGGATGGGGTGGATGCAGAGGTGGAAAAAGGTGTGTCCTGGGTTTGTTGTTCATCCTTTACCTTCACATCAAACTTGTTCCTCTGCAGTTGCCAAATCCTTCCTGAGGATGTGGCCTGTGCATTTTCCCAGCTCCTCCCACCTAAATATCCCATATATTCTCCCTTATCTCCAGCTTTTCTCCATCTCCCCATTCTGCAGAAAAACCAGAGACCAACCCCCCAAAAAAGCAGCTGATTCCTAAGAATTCCTGAGCATCCCGCGAGGTCGGAGGAGGAGCCGAGGGAGCCTGGAATTGGTGCTTTTTCCCTTCTCCTGCTTTTTAAGATGCAACATTCGGCCCCAAACAGATGGGAGCCTGTCAGCACAACACAGGGATAATCACCAACGGAGCCATGGGAAGCTTGGGAACAGCTCAGGAGTCGCTGCAGCCAAAGCTGCTTCATCATCTGGGGCTGAGAACCCCAGAGGGGCCTGGTTTTCCTTTGGAGAAACCCCATGGAAAACCTTGGGGTTTGTGGGGGCTGCAAATCCTCTCCAAAATCACTTGTCCTGTCCAGGGAGGGAGAATGATCCAGCCTGGAAGAGAGGCCTGGAAATCCCATGGAAATGCAACAGCAAGGGGTTCAATTAAATCTTAATTAACCCGACGATCGCTTCGGGCTTCTGGGTCGGAATCATGGGATCGTGGAACTGTTAAAGTTGGAAAAGACCTTTGTGATCATCAGTTGAGCACCACCACGTCCCAAAGGGCCACTTCCATGGGGTTTTTGGGCCCTTCCAGGGATGGGGGCTCCTCCCAACCCTTCTCAGGAAGGGAAGTCTCACGTTCCCGAGGCCAAATCTCGTGGAATACGCTGATTTTTGAGGATCACACCCAAACTGGTGCATCTGTTACAGCTGCCAGACCCCTCCAGGCATCCCAATCCCAGAGCCTCATTTAGTTGTTTGTTTTTTTTGTGGATCATCCCCACCTCCACCAGCTGGAAAACTGGGGAAGGAAGGAGTTAAGAAACTCTCACCTCGGGGTCTGTTATTATTCCATGGGTCTGGAAACTGGAGGAGTTAAAAAAAATCCCTCAGGAGTCGTGGAAATAACCCTCCAGGATGGCACCAGGGAGGTGCTTTCTGCAGCATGAAACCCACCATTATCCTTAAAAGAACAGCAAACCTGCTCTTTTCAGTCCTCAAAAAAGCAAATATAAAAGGCTTTATTTTTTTTTTTCCTTTTTCCCCCCTCCCCTTTATCTGGAATTTTTATCAGGGATGTGTTTTCTTTTTGCAGGGGAAAAGGGGTTTCTGTGTGTTCTGCTGGAGGTTTTGTCAGGGTTTAAAAAAAGGTGACAAAATCAATTTTTATTCCAGTCAAGGAGGGGACCAATGGAATTGGCCTCAGGAAAATTGCTGCCTGCCCTGACCTGGTTGTTAAAAAGGAAAAAAATAAAGGTAAGAAAAAAAAACCAAGTGGAAAAACGTTCACAATTGGCTTCTCAGGTTCTTCCTCAGCCCTTTTGTGAGGGGGAAAATTGTGGGAGGAGATGGAGGTTGGTGCAGGATCCTCCCGTGGCAGCTTGAATGGAAGTGTGCAGGTGGTTCCTGCTCCCTTGGATCCAGCCTTTTTTTTGGGATTGTGCTGGTAATTATCCCACACACACACCCGGGATGCCGCCCTCTCATCTCCCAGCTCTGCCTTTGGGGAGGGGAGAAAAAACCCCCATTTTTTGGGGAATTCCACCCCTCTCCCAAAAAATCAGCGAATTCCTGATTTCTCCCCGAGAAACGAAAAAAAAAAAACCCTCAGCTTTTCCTTTCTAAGCGAGGCAATAAATACATTTAATATCCAACCAGGAGCCCAAATTCCCTTCTCCCACTTGTACCCAGAGCTTCGTTTCCCAGCACTTGGAAAAAATGCAGATCCAGAGCATCTATTTGAGGTTTTTTATTCCTCCACCCACGGGCCCTGCTGGAACAATCTGCTCCCTCCTTTGCTGTCACTGCTATTAATTATGGCTCAAAACGCTGCTTTGGACCCGAGGTTGCATTTGCAGAGCACAAATCCTTGTTTATTTGCATGGCTGAGGTATTTTTCCCCCTGTTTGTGGGCTGTTGTTTGGTTTGAGAACTGTTTGTTGGGAGCTATTTAATTTTTTTCCTTATGTGTGTATTATAAAGTGTTGACTTATATGTGTTTGTGTGGGTATATAAATGGAACATGTATCTCTCTATATATTAAAAAATGGAATATATATATTAAAAATGGAATATATATATTAAAAATGGAATACATATATTAAAAATGGTATATATATAAAAAATAGAATATATAAAAATGGAATATATATATTAAAAATTGTATATATATATTAAAAAATTGAATATTTATATTAAAAATGTTATATATATTAAAAATGGAAGATATATATATATAAATGGAATATATATAATGGAATATATATAAATGGAATATACATATAAAAATGGGATATATATATATAATGGAATACATATGTAAATGCAATATATAAATATATATGTGGAATACATGTATAAATTAAGTATATGTAGAAATGGAATATATATAAATATGGAAAATGGAATATATATGAAATGGACATTAAAAAATTAAACATATGTAATAAACTGGAAAATAAAATTGAATAGGTATAAATGGAATATATATAAAAATGGAATATATAAAAAATGGAATATATAAAAAAATGGAATAAATAAAAAATGGAATATATATAAAAATGGAATATATATATATAAATGGAATATATATATATAAATGAAAAAATATATATATAGTTTAATTATATATCTGCTAATACTCCACTCAGAAAAATGGAACAAGGCACCAGGACAGGAGAATTCTTTTATCATGATTAAATTAACTCCTGTTTGTATTGTGTTAACACAGTTTCTCCCAGCCTGGAAAAGGCTCCTGAGGAAGAGGGAGATGAACAGGCTGTGATGGGCTTGGGAAGGTGAAAGGGAAAAAGTGGGAAGAATTGGATATATTATATATTTTCCTAATGGAAATAAATGGATATCTAAACCAGCAAAGGAAACCTGAGTGTGAAGGGGTCTCAGATAATGACCTTTAAAGTGCTTTCTGCATTTGAAATAATTGGGGGCTGGTGCAGAGAGCAAAACACTAAAACCTGAGCACTGGGAGGAAGTCAAATGCTCTGAGGAAAATCCACTGTGCAAGCTGAGAAAAGCCTGGAAAAAAATCCTCTCAATAAAGCCAAGCAGAATAAAGGAGAAGCAAATGATAGTCTTAATTCAAAGCTCAATTACAGGAGTTGTGAGCCCTGGGAACTCCTCCTGCTAATGATGTGTCTGTGCTAAGACTGGGGAAAAGTGCCTTAAAATAAAATTAAAAAAATAACAAAAAAAAAAGAAGAAATCCCCGTGTTTTTTGCAGCATCAATTAAAAGACTCCGAGATGAAAAGAATTCCCATCCTGCTCCAGGCCACGAGCACTAATCCTGCCAACCAAGCAGTCCAAAAGGAAGAAAGGTTTTATTTCATATCCAGACTCTTATTCCATGCAGGTAAATCCATAGTAAATACATTGCAGTAAAAGACAGTTAAAGTGCCTTTAAAGTCCCTCAAAAAGAGTCCAAACTGTGCTGGAAATTCAAGTATGTGGAAAATAGGCCTTTAGTTATTAGGAGAATATTTTTATTATTTTTTTTTTTAAATGTTGAAAATGGGGGAGGGAGGAGGGTGGAGCCCCCGAATTTTCCTGGGAGCAGAACCAAATTCCAGGGCTGGTGTCTTCCCAGCTGCTGAGCAGGGAGCAGGAGGGGATGGAATTGTCCCCCTGGGACAGGGATCTGCCCCCAGGACACGCTCAGCAGGGGCCAAAAACGAGGAGATTTGGGGTTTTTATCCCTTTTTTTGACCCCTCTGAGCCCAGAAGGTCACAACACTCACAGACACCAAAATGAGCCTGGAGCCCACCTGAATCCAGAGGGAAAAACCTCGGGATGGGGGTGAAAAAAGCAAAATCAAACTGGTTCCACTGGAATCCAGAGGGAAAAACCTCGGGATGGGGGTGAGAAAAGTGAAATCAAGCTGGTTCCACTGGAATTCAGAGGGAAAAACCTCGGGAGGGGGTGAGAAAAGTGAAATCAAACTGGTTCCACCTGAATCCAGAGGGAAAAACCTCGGGATGGGGGTGAGAAAAGCGAAATTAAGCTGGTTCCACCTGAATCCAGAGGGAAAAAACTCAGGATGGGGGTGAAAAAAGCGAAATCAAACTGGTTCCACCTGAATCCAGAGGGAAAAACCTCGGGATGGGGGTGAGAAAAGTGAAATCAAGCTGGTTCCACCTGAATCCAGAGGGAAAAACCTCGGGATGGGGGTGAGAAAAGCGAAATCAAACTGGTTCCACTGGAATCCAGAGGGAAAAACCTCGGGATGGGGGTGAAAAAAGCGAAATCAAGCTGGTTCCACTGGAATCCAGAGGGAAGAAACTCAGGATGGGGGCGAGAAAAGCAAAATCAAGCTGGTTTTTTGATGTCATCCCCACGTTCTTCGCTCCAGAAGAGACTCCAAGGTCAACTCGGAGCCGGAGTTCGGGGACCAGGAAGGAGGGTTGGCCCCGATGGGTCAGACCTGGGGCATCCAAACTCTCCTCTTGGGGATGGAAAAGCCATTTTTCCTCTTCCTTCCAGGCACTGGCAACGTTCCCCTTGGGATTTTCCAGAGTTTTTTTTACGGGCTTCCGCTACAGGGAATATTCAGGACATCACGCTGCCCCGGAGGTGGAATTCCAGCACCCACAGGGATAAAGGCAGGGCAGAGTATTCCTTGTTTCCCTCCTCGGGATGCAGCATCCCCAGGCTGGGCAGTGGGAGATCCCAGTTGGAGCATCCTCAGCTCAGAGCCGACCGTGGGCAATCAATTTTCCATTTAGGAGCTCTTGGAGAGATGATGGATTGGAGCTGTTAAAGCCCCAAAACCCGACCAATTCCTCTCTGGAGAAGGAGAACCAAACACCTGGAGCACAGCTATGGAAGAGCCTGGTTTGGTTCTTTCCTTAAATGGAAAAAAAAATTAAAATAATTTAAAAATAAAGAGCCTTTTTTTCACCCCAGGCACTCAGGACTTGGCATCTCCCCGAAGTTCAAGTGTTCCACAGATCCCAGTTCAACCATTTCCGGGTTATGGCACTTGGATGGTGTTATTTTTCCACCTGAATCCTTCCTTAATCTCCATATTTTCTCCCGAGTCCTCCCAAGATCCTTTCCTGCAGTAATTTATACAAATGCACACTACTTAGAAAGCCTGTTTTCCTCTAAATTCGCAGCATTTCAGAATTCTTGGATCCTCCCCAGCATTTCTAGGGCTTGCAGGGGAAGAGGAAGAACCAAAATCTTGCTGTTACCATTCACTCATGTTGAGAAAAACAGCAAAACCAAGGCCTGAAACTACTTGAATTAACAGTTCAAATGTAACTATTTGGAAAAAAAAAAAAAGTTAAATCCAGAGAAAATTCTCTTTTGAAAGGAGATCAGATTTGGGGCAAAAACTGGGTGAGAGAATCCCTCTGAATTCTTTCCACTTCGGGGAAAGAAGGGGAAAAAATAAAATTAAAAAAAAAAAAAACCAAACCAAAAAAAAAACCAAAAAACACAACAAATTTTTAGTTAAAAGCTTTATCTGGGAATTAAATTTATCTTGAAAATATCTAAAGAGAGACTGTTTGGGCCATAACGACTCAGCCTGAGCATTTTGGTGCTTTGATGCAGCAAAAATCTCCCCCCAGTGGGTCCGGGGAAAGTCTAATTTGGGGTCTAAATGTCATCAAGGATCCACATTTATCTGCAGTGGTTCTGGAAATGCAGCAGATGAGAAGGAAAACATTAATTAGCCTTTGGCAGTGACACCCCCAGTGACAGCTGAACCAACCCGTGGGTCAGATCTGCACCAAACAGGATCAGCAGAATAAAGAGCTGAGGAGAAAATTAAAAAAAAGGAGGGAAAAGTCCCCCCAAAAAGGGGGGTGGGAAAAATTCATCAACCAACAGCTTTTTAGGGGGGGGAAATAAAATTTTAACTGGGCCTGAAGTGTGGATTCTCCCTTTCTTTACACCCCGTCTGTGGAGTTGGGCAGAGGGTTTTTTTGCAGGTTAATCTCAAATTCTGAGGGCGCAGAGGGAGGAGAAAAAACCCCAGGAGGTCTGGTGTGGAAGCCCTTCCTTGGGGTCAGGTCCTGGAACCCCCGGATCCACCCCTGGGGCTCATCACAGGCGAGGTAAAATAAAACAAAAATCAGGAAAAAAAATTCCGCCGACTCAAAAATATGATGTTGACAAGGTGATTTTCGCATTTTCTGTGCTGTCCAGGCATTCCTGATTTATCTGAAATGCCCATGGATGAGCTTGGATTTGCCCCAGGATTTAGCCTGTGTTTTTCCAGTGCTCTCTCCCCATCCTCTTCCATCAGATCCACTCTCTTCCCACTGGATCAGTGGCCATGGGGATGTATTTTGAAGGAATCTCAGATTTTTTTTCCCCTCCTTTAGGGGAAGGGTCATAATTAGCAATTTAGCAAACTAATTAGATGCCAAAAAGCGCATCAAAGCTCACGAAAATCCTGGAGGTGAATCCTCTGCAGGGTTTTTTAGTCCTTAAAATAGTTCAGGTCCCCCTTTCTCCAGAGGAGGGGCTGGAAGGTGTCGCTTTGAAGGGAGAATTGGATCCAAGGTGGTGGAGGAGACCAGGACTTGAGGCTTCTGAGCCACGAAGGCAAAATTAAATGTCAATTAAAGAAGGCAAAGGGGAGAAAGGGACAGAGCCGGGGGGTGAGGGGATGAGAGAGGAGCCCTGGAGAGCCAACCTGACCCCTCCTGGGCCACCACGACATTTGATCCTGCTTCCCAACCATTCCACGAGAGGGAAGAGGCACCAACACAACATTCCTGAGCATTCCAGAGCCAATGTGCCCCAAAAAGCTTCTCTTTGCTCCCCAGGAACCTGCTGCTCGAGGCACCCCGGGGAACAAGATTTTCCCCCTCATTTCTGCTGCTGTTCAGGTTCTGGCGGAGGAGGGAAGAGGTAAAAAAAAAAAAAACACAACCAACCAAAAACCCCAAAAAAAACCCTCACCAAGGTCAAAAGTTGGCTGCGCTTTCCCCCCCCACACACCCAGGAGGTGCCCAGGAGGATCCAGGCACATCCAGCCTCCTCCTTTCCTGCCCCATTCCTTGGAAAAAAATAAATCTCGATTTTTTGGGTCCTTTTTTTCCTCTCTCCTCGCCGTTTCTCCTCCAGGAAGGGGACGGACTTTGCAGTGGGATAACGGGAGGTTCCGACACGTGGGACGCGGCAGGTTCGGGATGCAGGAGGAGGAGGAGGAGGGGGGGGATCACTCAGCACTGCTCTGCTTCCACAAATCCCTCCTTTTCCTGGCTGGCTGCTTCCACCTCGGCGTAGGTGGCGTGGTGGGTGTGATTCCGGAATTTCATGGCGGGCCAGTGGTGTGGCCTCCGCTGGGGACAGAAAATAGGGCACGTCAGGAGCTGGGACAGAGCCCCACACCCCGATCCCGAGGGGAAAAACGGGCACTGGGACATGAACAATGTTGTCCTGGGGAGAGTTTGAGTTCTTGTTAAAAAAAAGAGCTTTAAAAGGTTGCTTAGTGCTTAAAAATGGGTTTGTTGTGATGCATTGAAGTCATTGAGCTGAGCCGCTAAAACAGGGAATGGGGAGGGAATGGAAAATGGGGAATGGAAGCGAAGCCTCCCATCAGCCTGAAAATCCTGGAGCAGCACCTGGGGATGGCCACGAGTGTTCCCTGCAAAGCTCAGCTCTGTGTCCCCTCCCTGCCCCAAACAGGGC